TAGGTGGAATGATCATGCCAAGGACATTGCTCTTGCTTGTCGGCGCAAGCCTGGAGCATTGAATCGTGTCTTTGGATTAGCTCCAACTGAAGTTCGGCGTCGAATCTATCTTCTATTCTTCCTAAAGTTGACTATTGCTGTGCCTTGTATGACAGTTCTTTCTCTCTTACTGTTCTTGATTCTGTAAACAAACTTCTCTACAAAAAAATATTCTATCGGCACTGGTTGTGCACGGGTGCGCACCGGTGCCGAATAATTTTTTTCTGGGCACCAATGCGCACCGGTGCCAGAAAAAATGTAAAAATCTCGCACCGGTGTGCACCAGTCCCAAAAAGAATAAAAAATCTCGCACCAGTGCCGAAGTTTTGTCTTCAATCACCATTTTGTTTTGTCAATTTCTGTCTATATTAACGCTACAGTCTACTTCTAATATGGCATGCCACGCGCACCGGTGCGCACTGATTTTTACCAGTGCCGCACTGGAATTTTTTTTATAGGGTTGCTTCTCGTTTTATTTCTCGCAATTCTGACTATCGTTCTAGTTCTCTACTTGTGTCTCAACTTTCTCTCCCAAATCTCACTCTTCGTCGTAAATACGTTCGACTTCTACAGTTTTTCAAAACTTATCACCGTCTATGTCCTGTTTCTCTTTTTTATACTATTCATCGTCCTCACTACTCATCTTTACGTCTTCATCATTCTAAATATGTTCGCATTCCATCTTCTGTTGATGGTTATTCTCCGCAAACGGTGCATTCTTTTTTTTATTTAACTATTGCTGACTGGAATAATCTCCCAGAGTCAGTTATTTGTCTTTCTTCTTTAACGTCTTTCAAAACAGCTTTATGTCAGTATCTCTTCCAGTGGAACATTTTGTCAGTTAAGAATTTATATTATTCTTTTTTATTTTTTTCAAAAATTTGTTCTTTTTTTTACTAGTTCTGGTTCTAACCTTAGTTGTCTTATTTATTTTGTTCTTTTTTTATTATTCTTTTTGTGTTGTTTGGCTTGAGTCATTTTTTACGGGTCAGTGAACTTTGATGACTCTCTCACTTTTCGTGAATAAACAGTCTTAGTCTTAGTCTTCTTAGTCTAGACTTACCAATATTACACAGAAGTAATGCTACGCCACCGAAACGACTTAGATAAACTTAAACTAGTTTGACTTGGACTCAGCCCGCATCCACACTGAAAATCTTCGCCACGACATACTTATGGATTCGAAACAGAGACTGAAAATCATAACAGTCGTATTTTGTTTTTTCAGAGTATGTAACTCTAGTCTTAGTCAACAGTCCCAGAAAAAATCCTACAACATCTCGCAAGTCTTACGGAGTTTTCAACAATTCTATTTTACTTATTTCTCATTCTTAAGTTAGCATTTTGGTATTAGATCTGTTTTTTCAAATGAAAGTTGAGGCAAGGTAGCTATCGGTATCAATCAGATCCAATCAAGAACCTATCAATATACTCAGTTTTCTTAAAAATGTAAAAAAAACGTCAGTATATAAGAACTTATCAGAACATATTCAAACTGGTACCTTTTCTAACCGTAGCAGTGACGAAAAACTTTGAAAATTTGTCGTAAAAGGAGTGGTTCTCATATATTATGTATCTTGGGAAAAAAAAAGATGAATGTGTCTTGCACAGTTTCAGTGGGAGCCCTGTCGAAATCTTTCAGAACTTTTGTCAAAACGAGAGACCTGTAGTATTCCATCAAGCCTTGAGGGAAAATCCTGTAGATTTTTCATTTTTGCACGACTCCTCTGGGGTTCTCCGCGGGAAAGTCGGTTCATAAAAAGTAGCAGTAATATTACTTTCTGCAAGAAAATGTTCAAAACAAGTGAAATAAACTAGTGAAAAATTAGAAAATTGTATCAGAGACTGGTTAGTGGTTAGAGACGACATGCTAGTGAATGACTCATAATTTCAAAATTTTTTTATAGTAGAAAAAAGGTCTTATCTGTACTCCACTATTGGCACACTTCTTTTGTTTTAGAAAAGAAGCAAACAGTAGCGGTTATTAAAACACGCATGATTTTTGAGAGTTTATATGTGCACTTGTTTCTGGAGAAATACTTATAGTAACAGAGTTTTTGTTTTTCATATTTTACTGATACACTTTTTCTCATTGTTCGTGCACATCATTTGTAAGAAAAACAGAGACAACAAGATACATGTTGCTGGAAAATTTCATTAAAAACATTGGATGACAACGTGAATCTAAAATAACTTTAGCTACAGCGACGCGAAAATTTTTATCGGCGCCGGAGGATCTCTATCTACAGTACCAATCTTTTTTTGTACTGCGTCAATCAATCACTGATGTTAGGTACAAAATTGTTTGGTGTGTATTTTTTGCATCTGGACTTTCACGATGTTAGCGGCTACCATTCTGTACTGTACTAACAAGAGTGTAAGATCACTATTAATTAGTAACTTAAGTTTAGATGATAAGAGATACTTACAGATAATTCACTTGATGATGCTTATATGTATTTCATTTGTTGTTCTACTTCTTGACTTACACATTGATGAACTGTTAGTTTAATGCACGGGATCCTGCTGTTCTAATGTGTTGGATTCAGCTCTGATTGCTGAAATTTTAGCGGAAACTGGCTCCACTTAGAATCATTGAATATATGGGTAGGTTTTCTATAGTACTGATTTAATTTTCGTTTGTGAGAATAAAACGTGATATATTATTCTACCCCAAAAGTTTTTAATTGTTTTTCTAGTCTGTTTCACCGCAGCTATTCATCAAGGTAAAGTTTTTAGTGTTGATAAACACGGCGAACGTGATGTATGAGAAGTAAAAAAATTGTAAGTGCATAATGATCGATTTATGTCTACTTTTGCTTGTACTGTACATCACTCTGAAACTGAGTATTTTTTATAAAGTAATCAACAGGTATGACTATAAAAAAATTTCTACGGAGTTTGTCTCGATAATAATGTGTCATTTTCACTATCTGAATGTTCAATTTATTCTATATATATCAATAAAGAAGAATTTTACGTTATAAACAGCTTGAAAATATATTTGAATCGTATAGTCATTGTACAATTCGTTTTTGCCAAGCATTTTCCTTCTAAAGCTACATCTGCTTCGTAAATTTTAGGGAACTTTGTTTTTACTCTGTTGTCTTTATTTATGTTTACTTTTAGGCTAATTTTGAACTTTTTATCTCACATTGTTACTGAGTTATGACTTTTGCACTTTCTTGTGCTACGGTATTCTAGCGTCAATTGCAGTGGAATTTTTCTGTGATATGAATCTATGTAATAAACCTTGTTGTTCTTTTTTTCTAACAGAAGAGATAGATATATCTGTTACTGTTACAGTTGGCAAAATAAAAAACTCTGTTGCCACCCATGTCTACCATATATCATTTGTTTTTCTCTATTTGTTGACTTTTTTTTGCTAAAAAATAAAACCAAAAATCTTTATAATGTTCGTTGTTTCTGATATGTTAGACCTAGCTTTTATTCACCTAAATAGTTCGGTAAATTCGATTAAAATTTTGGTATTCTCAAGGTGGAGATCATCAACAAAGATAACATAATAATGATTAATAGACCTATGTAAGAGAAAAAAGCTAACGAAGAAACTGTTAGTAAATTTGCCCTCACGTGTTTATCGAAAGCCGATTTTAACTAAAGTAACACTTAATTTTCTATCTGATGATTATGTTTTGTTTCTTTTTATTTTTTACTTAATCGTTTAGCCCAATTTTATTGAATATGATTGTACGTCTTAAATTATTTTTATTTCCAGCGTTTTCTACAGATATACATCAACTGTAGGAGAAGAGAGTGAGGTGCAAAGTTTTTCTTGCGCATTCTTTTGAAAACTTTTTTTATACTAAATAAAATCGTTCTGCTGCCAAAAAAACGAAAAAATTTTCACATACTCCACTACTGACGGCTATGATTTTTCATTCGAAAAAACTTTTAACTTATTTATAACGAACTATTATTAAAAGTAATTGTTTAGAAATCTAACTGTGAGAATTTATATTGTTGATAAGGATGCACAAGTCTACGTTAATTATTCGTGTAAATATTATTAATGTTCAATAGTAGGACTTCTGATCTCTCTAACAGATTTATGCATGAAATTAGGAGCCATAGTTTTTTGGTTAAAGTAAAAGTAAATATTTTGAATCTACCGATTTATTGTCAGTATACATAAAATTTACTCTTTAAATATTCCTCAACATTAATGACACTAGATGATATCAAATTATTTTTTAACTTCATTAGTTTCTAATTAAAAATCAATATTTTGTGTTAATAACACTTATTAATCATTTATAATCCAGAATCTAAAAACTAATGTATTTCATTTTTACTGAGTGTCATATTATATCCAAAGGTAAGAAAACTATAAACATTATTTTTGAAAGTATTTGTAGTCTTTCATGAGTGGGAGTTATCAATATTACAGAAGTTTGCTACTATTGCCTTTAGTTATTTTATTTTAATAAATTATATAAAAGAAAAAATCTTTTGTATCTTTTATTTTAAAATAATTTGTTTTTTTTAGAATTTATAAATACATTTCAATTATAATTTACAACTTGTTATAATAATGCAAGTGCTATGTTAACTTTATTTATAATACAATAAAGATAATTTTATTATAAAGAATTTTTTTCTCATTTTAGATAATTATTATTAGCATCCCTATTGTTATTATTATTATTTAGTAAGTTTAACTTATTGTTTATAACGGTAACTGAGGAGACAATTTTGTTGATTAGTATGTTTGTTGAGTGGTGCTCGCATAATCTTATTTATCTTTATTTTCATTGTAGTATATCAAAATAACAATGGCTACCATTCAAAATGAGCCGCAACAACGAACTGCTTTTTCACAAATGCCTACGAGTACAAATATTTATTTAGCTAAAGCAGATGAATGGCTACATAAACTAATTCGTGGAACACCAAACGGTAAACAAAGAAAATATATATGATATTATAAATAAGAATACATTGAAATATTTTTTTTCTTTTAGGTTTAACTTTGTCCAATTTAACATGTGGCTTATTTTCATTGATAATGTCTATGAATGGATTTCATCGGTAAGAGTCAAAATGATTTTATTTTGAGTATCGAAGATACTTAGCCTAGAGAATGTTATATAATGGATGATATTTTCGGATTGATCATTGAAGATGTTGTGTGATATCAGAGTAGTTTAGACTAGTATGTTGTTGTTTTTTATACAACTTAAAATTATTAAGTTATCTACTAAACTACCTATCATTAATCTAAACTTTTTTGTAGATTTGGATCATTATTTATACTCTTAGCAGGTGTATGTGATGTGTTTGATGGACGTTTAGCTCGTTACTTGAAAATTGAAGGTCCTATGGGTGCACAATTAGACTCACTGGCAGGTACCGTCTTTCTGTTTTGTAGATGGCTAATTTATATTTGTTTTTCTTGTTGTTTAAGATATTGTTTCTTTTGGTGTTGCTCCAGCAATACTTGCTCATTCTATATCACAATGGTCGTTTCTAATGATAATTGCTTTTGTAGCATATCCATTAGGTTAGCTAATAAAAATCTTTTATCTTAAATCATATTACCATTATCCATTTTCATATTGGTTTTAGCTGGTGCATGGCGTCTTGGTCGATTCAATGGTATGTTTTTATAGATAATTATAAAATAATATATTGATAAAGTTACTTTGTATTTTTAATTCTAGTTAGTCCTACGCGAGACCATTTCGTTGGTCTACCAATTACCGCTGCTGGTCTCTTCGTTAGCTTTTTAGCTTTTTTCTCTTACACAAGTCCATTAATCATGCTTGTGTTATCTTTGTTGATGATCTCCACCTTGAGAATACCAAAATTTTAACCGAATTTACTGAACTATTTAGGTGAATAAAAGCTGGATCAAACATATCAGAAACAACGAACACTCTAAAGATTTTTGGTTTTATTCTTTATTCTGTAAAAATAGAAGTAATAAATACATATCTTGTTCATAAAGACATTTTTCTTTGTGTATCTTTATTTATGTTTTCTCTAGTATTTTATTCTTATTTATGACATAAAAACTAATCCCCGTGAAATTTTTCGAGTTCTTTCGTTCACTTTAACCGATAAAGATCTTTTTACAATCGTATTTTAGTATTTAAAAAAATAAATGAATATTAACATTTAAAAAACAAATATGAAAGTTTCTCTAGTGATGGGGATAGGAAATTTGTGTTTCTAATAAAGACATCTGATTATTATCTGTCACTTTTATCATAGGTTTTGAAAACTACATTTAAACGAAAAGTTTATAATTCTATTTGAAGAGATGATGAAGTTCTATAGAGAATATGTATGTATTTAAAGTTAAAGAAAATAAAAGAATCAAATGACAAGAAATATATTGGCTTACTTTTGTCATAGATGAATTTTTTCACAAGCAGATACTTTTTAATTTCAAAGAGAGTATTTTAATCTTTTATATTAACGGTAGAATTGCCTGTCTAAATGAGTTTGTGTTTTATCAAACATCCTGCCAATCTAAATTCAGAATCTAAGGAAATTTTAAATATAAGCCAAATAAAGTTTTTGACATTAATGTTGATAAATAGTTAGTAAATTGTTGAATGTTAGATGTACTATTTCTTTACTATGTATAATTTATGTTATGACACATGCGAGTCATTTATCGAAAACGCAAGAAAAAACAAAATTTATTTGATCGTCATTTTTTGTAAATAATTCATACTGGTTATTTCCAGTAACTTTTTTCTTCTGCAGTTTTGGTTTAAAAAAAGTGGGAGTCTATCATTGATTTGAGAACGTCTTGTTTGAAACAGATAAACATGTTTGTTTTTTATTTGAGTAATAAACTTTGTTTCGTTATTTTCTATCTAACGAAGCGGTACTGATAATATCTTTTGTAGCAAAACATACATATTCATACACGTACAAAAAATCGCGAAAATAGAAACATAAGAAACAAAACTTTTGCAAAAAGCAAAAAACAAAGTTTAAGTTTTTTTAAAATACCGACATACAAAAGAGACATGTTTTTTTCTCTGATCAAAACAGCATAATGAATAATATATACGACTAAAATAGTAAACATCCAAAATGACAATCATATAAAATGAAAACATGTTTTAAAAAACAAAAACACACGTAGAATAAGACGACTAAGAAACTAAAACTAATGAAAGAAAGTGAAATAACGCGCTAGTTTTCATATCATCCAAAGACAAAAATACGAAAAGAAAACATCAACAGCATAAAAAAAAATAGATTTACTCTGTGGATTGAAGAGAAAAGAAGCCAAAAAGAAAGTGTTTTAATTGTTAATAATGATAAAGATTTTTTGTATTTTGTGGAAAACACACGCCCAATCGACATGCATCACATAATAACGTACGATGTGTTGTTTTCATAGCACCTTTTCGTTGACGAGTTGAGTCATTACTACTATTTGTAGCCATAAAGTCAGCATATTCATTTTGAAAATATATTTTAAATACTGTGGCAGCTAAATTTTTCATAACACGACATACTTCATCTAAACAAGTAGAAAAATAAATAAGAGTCAAACGATTATTTTTGTATTTTTTGAAAAGAAAAAGATCAACTTACCGATATACCACAGTGGTTGAACTGTCTGTTGACATTTTGAGCATATCTGATTGCATAATTGTAGTGCAATAATACCAACTTGTGGCTGTGTTATATAAAATAAACAACGGGCTCTCATCGATGTCCAAGCATACGAACACTTTGTACATTTAAATTGTGCTTTAGCATTATCGACCTATAAATTAAAGACAAATATATAATTAAAAATATTAACAGTCATGTTGAATAACTATTACTTTTTTACAGTCATATATCACATTTAAACCTTGATCATATAACATCAGACGATAATCGCCATATTCTACACCATATTTTAATGTTCTTGCCAATATTAAACGTGCAAATTCACCATGAAATACTGTAGCTGTATTATCACAAAAATCTTTTTTATCAATATCTTTGATGCTTGCAGCTAATTCAGCTAAAAATGAAAAACGTCCAAAATTGAGTTAGAGAAAGCGTGTGCTGCTCTGAAGACTTTTCTGCGGTAGATGGTCTGCAAACGAGAAAGTAACTTTTTTAACTCGGTGACTTCTTCATACCATCATTTCGAAGATTTTTTTTCTTGCAGATTAAAGATTTCACTGAAGAGTGAAACTAGCAATAGAAATTTTTAGTCATGCTGCAATAGCGTGTTATTGCATCATCACTCCGAAAAATCCAATCTAAACCTAATATCTTGAAAGGAAATAAAGTAAAACAAATAAAAAGCTGAAATTTACCATCGTTTATTATCGCCGTTATTCCTGCATGTTGTTCACATGTCATTGACGAAAAATTATTTATATCAAAATTTTCAGCATTTTCAGATTTTGGACTTGTATATTGTTGTTGATATTGTGGTTCGATAAATTGGACGATATTGTCACTATCAGCACCACGAGCATCGTCGATACCACTATCGGAATCACTTGGAGAATGAATGTATTCTGCTGAGGCCACCATATTTCTATGATCATTTAATTTAGAATGAGTATCTGTTTTTTTATCTGAATTCGAATGACCATCGCTATTATACGATGATTTACTTCGTTGTAATAATTCTGCTTTATCGTCAGGTGCCATTTCTGATACAACAACCGTTTCACCAACTGATTTTTGTCTTAATAATGTTGGATTCGTATCTATATTGCATTGCCCGACCATGTTACCAGATTGAAATTGAAATGGTATAATTTGTGTATGTCAATAGTTATTTGTTAAATAGAGTTCTGAGAAAAACTGTTTTTTACACCAGTTTATATAGTATAACGAAAGAGAGAAGAGAAAAAAATGATTCAGCTAAAAACAAAGAAATATTGTCGTTGTCATTTCTTTTTTTGCTGTTTCTATTACCTGCTTCTCTCTATAAGGGAAAAACTATACGTATATATGCTGAATCTATTATTTTGTACCAGTAGAGAAGAAAAGAAAAAAAAATTTAAAACTTCAGTACAAAGAATATATGATATAATCTTGGGTTTTCCCAATAGAAAGAGTATGATTTTGTCTTGTTTTTGAAAATTTTCTAAGAATATCTCTCAATTTAGTCGGACTGAATGTTTCAATAAAAGAAGTTGAAAAATATGATATTTAAGTTTTATATCAAAATACTCCAAAATCGTTCACGCTGTTTTTTCTTGCTTAACGCGTCTGCAAGATGGATTATTACTACGAATAAATGTATGAATCATCGAGAAAAGATCAAACATAATTATAGTCATACTTTAGTGGAAAACCAGCCGTATTTCTAAACTTAATCTAGAAATCTAGAAATAAGACTGTATTGTACTGTACTGTAGATAAAGACGAAAGATCTTTACAGAATCATATTTCTGAAGCAAATCTAGCAATGTGCGGCAATTTAGAAGTTCATCAAGAAAGGGATTTGATTAGTGGTGTAGCTACCTCTCACTAATTGGTTTTGCCCACCCACTAAAAGTTTTATAATTCACACTATTTTCCATCAATGTCTACCACTTTGAAAAAATTTGGGACAACTCCCACCTACTAACAAAATCCTGGCTACGCCACTAGATTTGATGTCAAATTAATTGGCTTAATCTTGTAACACAATTATGATTGTTTTAGGGAAGAGAGACAATTGGAAAGTGTTGTAAAAGTTTGGTATTGTATTTAAGATTAGAAGCTAAATAATGTATAGTTATCGCATCAACACGAGGAGAAGATTTTAAGATGAAATGTATGAAACACATTAATACCCAAAAGAAATTGTGTTGAATTCTTTTATTTGTTTAACGATATATTTTTTTTGTTGACAATATAGAAGTTCGTACAAAAGATTTTAAAATTTGGAGAATCCCAACCTAAAATCAGTGTTATTGAGTCACTGTTCTCTTTCTTTTCCTACTGTTGTGAATAAAGGAAGAAGAAATGAAAAAATATTCAAGGCCATGTCGTCTTCTATAGTATATAAGAGTAACAATAAACGATATAGTACTAATAGGCTAAAATCATGATTTTAGCTAATCGTAACATGGGGAGTTTATGACACCACGCGTTCTACAATCTTATTTCACAAGTTTGTCTTTTGCGAGTCACATCAAGAACGCTTGGATATTATCAGTTTATGGCTGAGCTTTCTGCTGTTCATTTCAAAATAGATGAGGATTGTTCATTGAACGTTCGACATGAAACTTGGATATTGGATAAAAGCTTCGATCTATGACATTTCTCAGGCATCTGATCTAATCCGTCGAATCAAAGCCAAAGTACCACATAAAAGTGGTGTATATCAAAGATTTCAAAAAGACAAGGTTGCCATTCTACATCCTTCAATGTTTATATAAATGTCTTCCTATGAGAAGTGATAGTTCAAAGTACTAACAATATTATCATGTATATTAGAGATAAGTAGGTATTTTTCTGAAAGTTTAAAGTAGTTTCACTCGATTTTGATGAAAATGTAAGCTTTTTATTGCTTTTTGAGCATTGAGTCATTGAAGGGAAAAAACATAGATATTTACAGGCAGACTGTGTACCTAACGACATGTCTTTTCTTTCCTTTCGTTTCAGCTTTTTATCTCATTTACCCCTTGCATTTGCTACTGGAAGGATAAACGCGCAAATATATACAAGGAAGGTTCCTATGTGCAAATTGTCGCCGGTCCGATGCTCGATCATACATTTCGCTTCTAGATATTTTCTCTTGATTGGTATGATTTAGGCCTTATTATTTGAATGTGAATTTGATGCCAGTCTTCGTTCTGTACAGGTAGTATTAAGGCTTATTTTTTTGTGACTCACTAGAAGCTAAGCATAAAGATGTAACATAGAAATGAGATGCAGATTTAGTCGCAGTTTATTTTAAAAGACTATTATAAGAGTTCACTTTTGCTAAATTAACAAACCAGAAGTATGAAATTCAGCAGCAGATGAAAAAGAATGAGACTACAGTACTAGACTGTATAAAAATTATGTTTTGTGGTACAACAAAATTCGATTGCTAATGCTATGATAACATGCAGGATGAAAGTTTTAAAACATATGATCTATAAAGAACTCTGAACTAAGATGACGTAAAATCTTAAACATTTAGAGAAGTCATAGTAGTAAAAATTATAGAGACAGTAATTAACACATACTGTGTGAAAGTAGGCTAAAATATAAGAAAAACATTTTCATTTTGAAAGTTTATCTTTGTGTGAAAAAAACCCCGTAGCTCATTAAAAAGATCAAAACGCAACTATGCTTACAGCAACAAACAAACGAATATGCAAAAGTTCATATAAACTGTATCAAAAATGTAAAATAAAAAAATATAGTAGATGTAGAGTAGAAACGATGGAACGAGTTAAAAGCTGTGGAGACGAAATTTTTTTCAGAAAACTGAAGATAAATTGATTTCTCTTGGAGAACACACCATTTTATATTAATTCAAATTAAATTAATACTGAAAGCAAATATTAAAATTTTTTTTCCAGTATTTATGCCTAAAATTTTCTACTTTTATCTATTTTAACGCACCGGTATCAAAAATGAGTGTGAGTAATTAGAAACGAATTGAGATAAAATCCTCGTTTTGCTACAGTTCATCAAATATAGGCTTGTAATAAGCAAAGACAAAGGCGTCTAGAATACGAAAGACAGCGAGTTTATGGTGAATTCAAAAATATAAATTATCCAAGTTGTGAGAGTCGCTTAGAATTCTGTCTCGATTCGTTTTTACATTCCTAAATCGTCCACACTGATTCTATAGTTTCGTCGTTTCTAATAGAAAGAGGAAAAAATTATTGTACGAATAAACTGAATTCAAGATCGTCTTCTGAAGCAACAATTATCTTGACACGATTGACAGAAGCAACTGTCGTGACTACGTGTCATTGTGCTTCGACGTTGTGTTAACGATCGTCCAGCAAGAAGTCCGTATAAATATATTGGTTGAAATTGGATTAAATGTGGATAAAAATTTTCTATTATTAATCGTGAAATTTCTCGCATAATGCGGCATGTTTCATCTAAATACAGTTTGGCTGAGTAATTTGTTGACAGAATTCACAATTTTGTTCGAATAAGTGGAAAAAAATGAGGCGTTTTGAATTAAAAAATTGTGGATTTTCGAAGAGAAATAGGGCTCGGCCCCTAGCGGAAGTCCATTCTTTTCGCCGTTCTACACATTGTGGAGTTGAACAAATGTATTTTACTTTAGCATTTCTCAATACGAGTATATATTGATGATAATAAATCTGTTGATATAAATCATATGGTTGACTTAAATAAGAATAAATTTCTTCCTTCAACTGACATTGTTCTGTATAAGAATCATGTGGACAAATAGATCTAACAAACGCATTCATACAAAAATGATCTAACGGTATGAGTGACCATACATCTCGATCGTCCATCATTATTGAGTTGAGATTTATTTCTAATTCAGCATGAAATACTTGAGAATTATTGTCACAAAATGTTTTCTTATCCTCATCAGCTATTTGTATTGCGCTCAAAACATCAAGATTATCTAAAATGGAAAGACAAAAAGAAAGCGATAACAAAAACAGTATGAATACATTTTCGACAACAACACCCAGTCATTAGTGAGCTCCTCCAGTGCGTATGAGATCAAAAATTGAAAAAAAAAGGCAGAAAATATTACGTAATAATATATTACTTAATTAAATTCTTACTTCTGTAACCCAATAATTGTAAACCATCATAATTTTGATTTGAAGCCATTTGCTGCCCTAGAGATTGTTTCTTACGTACGAATCTAATAAGATTTCAATAAGACGATGACAAGAATCAAGTAAAGGTCTACAAAAATTTTATAATTTTTTTTACCAATTTTTTATATAAGTGATAGAAAATCAACTGATTTTGATAAAAAGAACGTAATAAATTTCTTTTTCTTTTTTCAGTTAATGATATGAATGATACATTGTACTAACTGTTTTTTTCCCATCATTTATTAAGTAAATAAAACAAAAAAAAAAGAAAAAAAGAAGGAATTTATAAGGCTAATCATAAGGCTGTTTTATCTGTTCGAAAGTATCTGAAAGATCAAACCTGCATAGTACACTATATTTAATATAATTGTTTTAAAATGACGTTGTGACACAACATTCTCCCATAATGTCTTTGGAATCCCACGATTAGTAGATAAAGAAAACTTATTCTCCACATTCCTTCAGAATCTAAGAAGAAGACGCTAGACACGTCTCCATTTCTTAAAAGCCTAAAACGGATAGATTTTGCCCGTATATAAAACTTCTCACAGTTATTTTTCTGGGATGGGGTCAAAACTAACATTTTCTTAAGATTTCAAGGTAATCAAAATATGGAGTGCTCCTTGAAAAAAGGTATTAGTTTCAAAAATCTGGTTGAAAAATGATTAAAAAACTTTTCAAAAAATTCTGATGAATTCTTATGAATATCTTATAAGATTTTTATAAATTTTCCTACCAGAATCAGTGAATTTCTTATCATTTTCGTGCCACTTTTTATATAAGACATTTGTAAAAAACCAATAAGATTCTTATCAAAATTAACAAGATATTTTTCGATTAGGATGTTGTGTGTGGTGATTGTTTTCTATTTCTATCAATTGTTCATTCGGTTTTGTTTTGATATTTTTCACTTTTTAATACAATTTTCGTGTCGTAAAGAACATTTTTTGGTTAGAAATTTATAACTGCTGTCATTCACTGCTGATAATGCCAGTATGTAATAAAGTTTGTTATTTCTTTTTAGCCATATTTTGTTCATGTACAATTGAAATACTCACTTGTTTCTTTATTTCTTTTGTTTCTGTAGATAAATAAATGTCAACGTGTTCACCACTATCATCTATTATGGGTACTGCCCCCATTATGTTTATTATTAAATGGGACTATTTTATTTTCTCTTAGTAGATATCTATTACTGGGTTATTTCTCATGTGAGTTCATGATGTGCTTATCAGTTTTCTGAGAATATATTGTAATTTTACCTAATTTCAAAATTGCCATTGTCTAATCAAAATGATTCAATATACTGTAAAAGAAAAGAAGAAAGAAACAAAAATTGCATAATTTTCAAAACATCATAGTAGCTGAAATATTCTCTTTTTCTATTATTTGGTAATTTTCAGTTGGTATTATTACGGTATTTTCCAGCATTTAATTTTATGATTCACATGAATAATAAACATACGTTTGCCTGAATTACATGACTAAATAGAACTATGACTACTTGTTCTAATATGTTTCTTAATTTATTTATTGTTATCGAAAGAAACATGTTGTCATATATTCCACGGAGATATTATAAATCTATTGAAATATGTTTAGTCAATGTGTAAAAAATACTATGATTTGACAATCGAATATTGTCAATAAAGCAGTTAAAGACTAAATTAAAAAAACATTACCTTTCTCCATGTGGCATTTTTTTCTTTATGTATATAGGAATAGGAAGTAAGGACATGTGGAAAGATATGAAATCATTCTTTGGAAAATTACTGCTCAATCTGAGATAAACATATTACTTAAATAGTTTAGTTTCGATATTTCTACTTTATATCTGGTCATTTTTATATAAAGCGTCAGTAATATTGGTTAAATGAGCAGTCGTTATTCTTGATCATTGGAGAAATAAATACAGTCAAAACTAATTTAGTAGAGAAATACGCTATCTTTTACAACAATGACTATTGTCTATATTCACTTTTTCTTCAAAAAATTACTAAATCTTCTCTCTAATCTCTTTCTAAGAGAGATCATAGACTGCATAGTTTTGTACCTTGGGATACTGAAAAAGTCTAAAAGTTTACATTAAAATAAAATTTCAGAAATAACGTATTTTTCAAGGTAAAAAGCGAAAATCTGCGAGAAGCCCCTCTCCCCGGATCAGAAACCTATCTCAGCCCAGGTAGGTCTGATCTGAACGAAACTTTCAGGGAATGTTGACCATGTCAAAGTGTGGTACGAAATTTTTTTTTGACGTCACTAGCAACTGTTCGTGAGAGAGCTTCACAACAAGGACCAAAAATAGGCGTCTGCCATTCACAAGAATTCTCACTTCAGGTAAATGATAGAGAGCTCGGGCTGGTTTTGTTTTGTGTTAAATACCTATGCCTAGGAGTTGATAGAACCCAGTTTTGAATTTCTCATTTACTGATTTCTGGTGCCTAACAGAACTTCAAAGTCCGAAAAATCTTACAAAGTTTCTTAGAAATCCGCGTGTCTATAAAAAATAGAAGCATAATTTAAAAATCGGACTCTGTCAACTTCTAGCTATAGGTGTTATCTACAAATCAAAAAAAAGAAAAACTTCCTTCGATGTATCGTTACCGAGAATTCCTGTGCGTGGCGATAGCCCTGAACCTAAAAAACAGTCTTAAGAAAAACGCAAAATAAGTTTTGATTCTGTTAAATGCATTGTACTTAAAAACTGTTTGAACGTTAAATAATTTGTCGATATTTTGCTACAGGTTATCCGTCATGGCGGATCTAATGAACATGCATACGGTCATGTGCGGCACATGCGTGCGCTTATGCAATAAAAGTGTAAAAAAGCCAAAGTTTTTTACTATGAGGCTTCTGAAAACTCGCTCAAAAGCTATGAAAAACCTATCCTATCGACAGAAAAATTATGTCATTAGAAAGTAGACACTTTGGGCTATCCAACCATGTGCTTTTCTCAAAATTAATATTATTGCCGAAAATCGGCATTTCTGACCGGGAGAGGGGGGGGCCTTAACTGAATTGAATTGAATTTATTTTACGCAAAAGTTAGGATATCACAAAAAAAGGTCAAAAAAACTTATGGCCTCCATAGATACCCTGTAATAACCGAACTAAGTATTCATTAATAAATCTATAGTGTGCATGTATGATTATTGAGTTTTCATTTTGGGAGAGTATCAATACACCCGAGAATAGTTCATGAAAGGAGTTTCAATAGACGTAGATATCTTTGCAATCGTATAGGTTAACAATACCAATTTAAACTACATGCTTCTTTTTGATATATACAGCATATCTAGTAACTATCAGCTTCGAGAACTGACTTAAAAGTCGATCATGCATTTATTATGTTATTATTGTATTTTTAAGTTTTTCCGAATTCTTCCGTAATATAATATGATGATATTTTTTAAATTTGTGTAATCTTTCAATGTTGATAGTATGTGGTTAACAGAACAGAAAGATAGAGGTAACATCTTTTATTTGGATGTACTATGGGTGGACTCTATATGTATATTTTTATGGATGTACTAAATAACTTTGCGTTTGAGAACAAAAACAGGTAGGTGTATTTGATTGTATAAAACTTTTAAATTCTTCCATTCAAATTTTCTTGTCATTACCCATTTATTTTTAGTTTTATATAGAGAACATGTATGTGTAGGGATGAGATAAATATCTGAAGAAAAAAATGTCAGTATGAATTCAAGTTTTAAAAAAATAAGAAGCTAAATAGTAACGAACAAAGGAAAGAAAATATAAGAAAAATGAATGAGAAAAAATAAAATGTTTGTTTTTTTCAAATCTATATCTGATGATTAATTCCAATAAAATTTGCCTTGTCATGTATATCTCACTTTATTCTCAAGGACACAGATAGGGCATTTTCGTTGATTTCTTCTGATAAAATACATACCTGGTGCGTTAGTTATTCACCGTTATCATCAGCTGTGAATTATTAGTATTTTTCATCAAAAATTTCTAAAAGAAACAACATAAAGAAAATAATCAACACATTAATCAACATAGTATGAATCAATAACACAAATCTAAGAAATTTTATTAAATCTGAGTATCTAAAATGTTTAATAGTAGAAATCTGATAGCACCTAATCAATAGTGTCCGAAAAAAAACCATACAATTAAAAATTATGTCATTAGAATATCGATAAATAAAGCATCATACCGATTCAATGTTTCTGCATCTAACATTTTTTTCTGTATAAATGATATTTAATCATGAATTTTGTGTCAGTTTAACAGTACGAACAACTTCAGGAAATAAATAACCAAATATAAAGTAAAAATTTAGTTTCCATTTTATACAATTTTCATATGAGAGAAACCTATTTGTTTCTTATCCACACAAATCATGATAACTGACAATGTGAAAACTTTCAGAAACGTTAAAGCAAATTCGAAAAAGTGTCGAAGTCTTGTGACATTTTGAAACAAGAACACTTTTTCAAATATATCTGGAAACGATCTATTTAATGGTATATAAGAAGTTTACCAAAAACTTTACATAAATTAAAAAAGTTTATTTTACAAATTTTGTCTAATATTTCCTCAGTGAGTTTTCTAGTCTATGCAAATATTTTATAAATTCTTATTTTTCTAGTATGTTCCCCTAGCATTTTAGATGGTCACCAATTTGCCTTTAAATCTTCAATAGCAAATATTTTCATACATTAGTTTTAGATTATAATACCGAAACGTCAAATATATGATGAATCATTACAGACTCTCGTTAAACTTATTGGGTTGCTGCACAGGCCTTGGAATTATACCAACATGCTCAATTGACTAACTGTGTGATAATCAGAAAAATCGTTTACTTTTGAAATATAATATATAAGACAAATCAAGCATAGATTGAAAAATTTTTTATCAATTAACTCATGTAATACGATAATAAATGAAATCAAAGGTTATTGCGTCTTATATTCGATCTGTATATATATGTGAGAGTAAAAAACTACTTCTGCCTATAATTTAAAACTTCCAAAACAATTCAAAATAAAGAAATATACTTTTTACATCATGCACAGGAATACAATTCATTGTCTAATTATTATTAGTAAGAAAAAAACAGTATTATAGATTTTCTATCTTGTTAATGAAAAGGTTTAAAAATGTAGCGCACCAGTTGTGTTGTATATATTAATGCCAAATTTTAAACGGTTTTTCTTTTGTTTTTTTATTTTTATTCTTGTTTTAGGTTTGTTTTTATGTCAGAATACAGTGAAATCAACATATTATGATTATCCTGATGACGATGATCCTCTGGAGGTGTCACTACATATTGAGACAACTAGATCAACAGACGATGTTGCTATGAGTGATGATATCGAACAAGATGCTACAAGCGATGATATCGAACAAGATGCTACAACGGATGATTACAACGATGTTTACTACGATGACTTCAAAGAAGAGGAGACAACATCAAAACTGTCAGATGAGACACCAACAACGGTGTTATATACCGAGGAATTAACTAACGGAGAACGTATCTCGTCGTTTGAAAGTGAGAACATATAAGAACTAATCTACGGTAGTTCAGTGCATATCATTGCTTTAGATACAACAGATGAACAAGCAAGTGGCAATGAAACATTAGTTGACGATGAGAAAGGTAAGTTTTGGGTAAGGCTTTGTTAATTTTCACAACCATCCCTAACTCAAAGTATTTTATCAATTTATTTGTTGTTTTATTTTCAGCCAACAGCGTATTCTTCAAGCATAGAATATTATTTATCACAGTCGGTATATCAATGTTATTAATTCTCACTATCACTGTATTAATTATTTTATATTTTCACACAACAGCGAAATATCGTTATTATCGAAAAGGTCAACAAGATCCAACTTTAAAATGATAACAAATAAATGTTGTTTATCGATGCGACTAAAAACCCATTAAGTGTACTTGTAATTCTTTACAAATGTAAATTTCGTGTTGGAAAGGGAACGTCATCAATTATTTGCAAGTTTTTCTTATATTCATGATGTGGATAATTCAATTTTGATACTCAATTATTGTTTTAATCTCGAATCAAGAAAAGTCCTATCATTAATCTTGGAAAGGAACCCAGTAAATATAGCTCTCTTTCAGCAATCAATGAATAAGAAGCAAACTCCATTAATCAATTTTTAACCAAAAGAAATATATTGAGAATAGAACATGATGAATGAGTAATTGAGTTAAAAGTAAAAATTGCTCATAATATCAACTACACTTTAGCAAATTTGAGACGATGTTTTTATAGTATTATAGCATTCATCCAGAAAACATCTTACAGAATCTCTTAGCTATTTTCAAGTTGCAAATCTGTAGATTACTGAATATAATTTCATAAGGTTGCCTCTGATTATGTTTTACAGAATAACCAAGCATAATGTTGTTTTGGAGAACTGAGCATAAATATGTAAATGCAATTAAGAAATTCACTATCATCAAAGAGTTCTGCTCTATATGTGATCAGTTTTAAACGAATAACAAAGTATGCTAAGTTAAAATCAATACAGATGTTGCCTGTGACTGGCGAGTTGAAAGATCTTACACAAAACACACAAGAGCTCCAGGCTGATAATGTCCCGATTTTGGGGATTTTCCACTAAGTCAAACTCAGATAGGGGAAGTATTTTTGGTCAAACTGTTACTGCTATTCAACGCAGATTAATGAGATAATTCACAGAAATCGGAGAATTATCATCAAAGATTAGTCACTACACAATATCATAAAAAGTAATTGTTACAAGCCGCTATTTTAACGAAATTTTATCGCTTGCTTCTAGCCTTATTTTTAATCCGTTTTTCAATTCAAAACATTAGCCAAAACCGACACTAGATCATCGTAGAAAGTCATTAACTTCATTCGTCATGGTAGTAGAGTGCGATCATAAAGTAAAAACTGATGTTCCTCATGAGTAAAATTCTATCCCACACAAACAGGTAGTAAGATATACTATTGCTGGTTTAGCGCATATTATATTTTAAACGTATTTAATTAATACCTTGTCATATTTATTACCGTTTACGTAGGGAAAGGAAATTGTTTTGTTGACGAGTGTTCTATTGCTTTAATGGGAATTAGTGATGGAAAATTGACGATCATCAGTTTGTATTATATATAACTTTGCATATAATGAACACAGGACATTTCGTTGATGTCTATTGATGTGATATGATATTCCGTTTTTCAGCAAAGCGCTGAACGTTCCATCAAAAGAGTGAGACATAAAGCTTGGTCTCTAAGCACAATAGAAGTACTAAGTAAAATCAATGACGTAAGAAAGTAGAAAAAAATGAACTCTATCCGTTTTCTTTTTCACATGTTTATTTTCAATTTTTATTTATTCTTCGGTCTGAATTTTATATATATATACTGATACATATGTTTTCACAACTCATCCTTCATATCCACCTCGTTACATCGCCTTTTCGTTGTACATTATATCTTCCTGATAGTAAATTGGTCGATTCTATACGCTAAAAAATTTTTGAATAATAAACCGACTATTTTTGTGTTTTTATTCAACTCGCTTTAATTCATCCAGCTGATCTATCCCTGGTTTAGATCACATCTTCTAATTGTTTGATTCGAAATAACGGAACATACGCTTGTACGGCAATCAATGCGTACACACACAATGTACATGGCTGGTTCCGTACGACATCTGCCTTGTATATTAGAAAAAAGTGTTTATCACCTTCTCTCTTAAAAAAAACAGAGACAAATTGTTCAGTTCTTTCAATATCGTTTTTTCTCTTTTGCATCAATATGTTGCAACACAGAAGCGTGATTGATCCATTTATGAAATATTGCTCTACGCTTTACCAACGTTCCGTGTTTTGCGAACCGACAGAACGCAAAACATATTTTTTTCATACCCTAGACTAAAGTCAAATGAATTTATATATTATATGAGGTGATTCTCTTTAGCGTCTAGAAATTACCATCAGCGGTCGAGTTTTGTCAGAGAGAATAAAGACACTTTCGAATAAACATATTCCGATAGTCCCAGATTCTAGAGTAGGTCCAGTTATACATGTGAAAAAGTTTTCAGATTAAACGAATGTGTTTTGTCAGAGATTTAAGAATTATCAGATGCTCAAAGCTGTAAAGTTTTCAGTATTTACTATAGTAAAAAAGAACTTTTTCCTTTAGTTTGATACGTAACTCAGTTCATTCTACAATCTGAACATATCATAATTTCTTCATTCGAAAGTTTTGAATGGATCTCAAAGCTGTGAAATCTGTCTTCGGTTTATAGTGACAAAATGTATATAAGTTTTGAAAATAGAGTTTATACTGTGCTTCGATTATAGAGAAGCTTTGTATTTCTAATGCGTAGATCAAGCTTTAGAAAATATCGAGGCATACTATGAATGTACGTACAATTTGTCAAAAAATACCCGTTAACAACACTATTTGTTGAAAAGAGGAGTATTTATCAGTATTTATTTTATTTTAGATAATGAGCAACGAGAATTCTGTACTACCCCCGTTAAATCTTTTACATCCATCTCCAATCCTCCATCATTTCAACATCACGTCAACAAATGCTTCGTCAAAAAGAGCAAAACCCCCTCCGTTGAATCTGCCCACTGATAACAATTTGTCTGATGATTATTTGAACGATTGTCGCGTTTCCTTTCAAACTAATAAAAGTAGTGATAATAACGGGGAACAAAAACCAGTCAACAGATCGAACTCAAACGATAAAAAACATGAACAAAGCGAAAATATGGAAAAAAGACACCTTAACCTATGCTCAAAAACAGCCACATGCTCACACACTCCTAAACTCTATGTAAGTGAATATAATTATTGATGTTTTTTGAAGCAGTTTTTCCTCTAGTCTTTGTTTGATCATTTTAAATATTGTGACGTAAATGTCAGATCACTTATTTCTTAAGAAGCTTAAAAGGCATTTCACATAATCTTTTGCAACCGTTTCATATTTAGGAGATTTTTATTCATCTTTAAAACAAACTTTTTTTTCTATTTTTTTAAAGTGTTGATACTTTCTGAAATTTCAGATCTTACCGGTACGTCAACGCGAAAATATACTAGATAATATTTCAAGCGATACAAGACAAAAGAAACAAAATTTGGTAGTCAAGTAAGCTTCGCTATTTTAGTTTAATGTGGTATACGATGATGATTTAGTTATCTGTCAATCCTCTGAGATTTTCTGATGTTTATTTTAAACACACAACTGAGTATACCATCCATTTATTGTTTTCACGTGCACTTCTCTCTTCTGTTTTCATAGAAATCGTGCAAAAACAGCGTCAGATTCAGATTGCATTGATTTACTGCGCGTTATAACTCAGAAATCAATATCGAATGATGTGGCTCAATTGTTAGATAAATATAAGAAGGTATATCATTTTTTATCAGCTGCTTATCAGAAGTGAATGTTTATGTTCTGTCTTGGGACAAGGCATCTATATAAAAAGTTTACCATGGAATTGGACAGACTTTTTGAAAAATTAATCTCGTATAAATTACCTTCTCAAAAGCTGTTACGCTCTCAAATGATTACGACAAAACGGGTTTTGTGTTACGGTTACTGAATCGAACTTAAACTGATAAAAAGAGAAAATTGATGGAAATTATTGGTTTCTTCAATAGATTTTGTAGACACCTATTTGTTTGTTTGTTTTAATTTGTCTGTTCCCCACTGAACGTTTTTGAGACATGATGTAAAGTAGTGATGGACAGAAATACCACGAAACGAAAGAAAATGAACGAATTGCTTAATTTTCTGTTCTTTTCGGTACGGCTACAACGAGTATGTCATTTGTTTTGTTTGTGACTGAGATGGAATATACGTTATTTCGTAATTTCGTTCAGAAAGCGAAATAAAATTACATACTTCCTTCGTTACAGTCGTCAGAGTTTTTCTCTTTCGGCTCATTACTGGTGTAAAGAGTCCGTTTATCATTTCAGGAAATCAGGAAATCCAAGAAAAAAATTACACTTCAGGACGACGATTTCACTTGTTTGGTCTTCTTTAAATAAACAGTTTAAATCAACTGTTGAGACCATTCTGCTTCCATTTTATTAAATAATATTTTCTAATATGCAACTAACACAGATCAAGGTTTACTCTGATTATGAGAAAAAAATGAAACTCAGACTTTTATGTGTCTCCTTTTTCCGAAAACCTCTGCATCTCAGGATAAGAGTTTGTTTGCGGAATTTAGCAAGATACAGAATGAGGAGCAATGTAGTGATATCGGATAGAAAAGGCATCCAAAAAATCTCATTCCATCTATCTCGGTTGCTGATAGGTTTTCACTCTCGTACAACTCGATCTCCCTCTAAAAGTTAGGAAAATAAGACATTTTCTGGTATACAATGATGACACACAACCTGTCAATCCTCTGATAAACTATGTTGTTACAAAAGAAGTAACTGAGTATGCCGAAATAAAACGCTGTTCATTCGCTGAAAAAAGCGAAATAATGCGATTTTTTCAACCAGAACCAATGCTTTTTCATTAGTTTTGATGATGACTAGTATTGCTTGAATAGTAGTGATCCTACGAGGTTTCGTTTTGAAGGAATACAAAAAAATGTTTCTGAATAATTTTTATTGGAAATAACAAAGCAAATGAGAACTTCCTGCTAATCTGTTGAAGAACAACATCAAAAGTGTAGAATCTATCCGTGAGATTAGGAAATTTCCCCCGACGGTAAAAGATTATTATAAAATTTTCCCGACATGAAACAAAAGAAAAAACAAAACGATGCGATTTTATTGTTGATAAAACTACTGTTTCTGTTTAATTATACATGTCTGGTTCTGGTATTTTCGTTGCTTGTTCTTGACGTAAACGTTTTAATACAATTGAGAGTAATTAGTTTTTGAAAGAACATAAAAAAGGCGATAGTCGTTAAAGGCTAACATAATTCTTCGTTTTTACAAAACCAAAAAAACTTTTTTCCCCCGATGGCCGTCGGCATAAACGGATAGATTCTGCACCTCTGAACAACGTCGTCACTATGCCTGAGTGATTTTTATAGTCATACTTAGTGCGAATGAAAAAGAAATTAATAGATTGAAATTAACAATTAATAAACGTTTATTTATTATCTTTTAGAATTATTTCGATACGGTCTACACAAATATTCTACAAAAGAATTCATTAACAAATATAAATGAATCAACAATACGAGCAACATTATGTTCTTTGATATTTGATGTAGGTTACATTTTTTTATTATGATCGGAAGTATGTCAACGCTTTTTCCACTGTATTTGATGATCAATCTTGGTATATATAAAAAACGTCTGATAATAATAGGAGTAATAATAATAATACAAGGTTATTTAATTGTAAATCTAACACAGACATCTATAATAGAGAAGAAAAGGCGATTTTTTTATCTGAGTATGTAAAATAGAGAAAGAGAGAAAGAAGCAAGAGAACGAAAAAAATATATAAAAAGCAAGAAACCTGAGTTAATAGAAAATTCTTTGTAAAATATTCACCCGCGCCGGGACTCGAACCCGGAATCTTCGGATTAGGAGTCCGATGCCTTAATCCATTAGGCCACGCGGGCTCAATAATTTTAAGTTTCATTTATTATAAGTTACAATGTGAACATACCTTTTTTTTTATAGAGTTTACGAGAGTATAATCCAAACTGGGAAAAATTTCATCAGAATGATGATGAATGTCAAACAGTGAAAAAGTAAGAATAATCAACATACAATATAGATACATATATCGATCGGGATATGCTTCTCATGCGGGACATAGTTTTTTACAGAAAAATGGTTTTTTATATTCCGGTCGAAATATGCTTCCTCAGAGGTGTAGAATCTACCCGTGAGATTAGGAAATTTTCCTTAATGGAAAAAGTTTTTCAATAAATTCCCCGACATAATCCACGAACAGAATTTCTTTTTGCGAATCAATAAATTTTTCCCTGACGACCGTCGGAGCAAACAGGCAGATTCTGCGGCTCTGTGCTTCTCATTCGGGATATCTTGTTTACATCAAAATGGTTTGGAATATCAAAATTTTTATATATTGTCTACGCATCAGAAAAGAACGTGTGTTTCAATATATATGCATATCGAAAACGAAGAAATAAAAAAGATAGTCGATGTGGAAAGCGATTAGATCAAGAGTATATCCTATTCCGAGCAATAAAAGGTTAACCTCCTATTATCCGATCGGGATATAAATTCGACCAAAATTTGTTAAAACTTTTTGTTTGCCGGGTGCTTGGCAGACTTTTAATCAAACACAACAGAATCCGATGTAGTTTTTCGAGTTCTTTATAATAGTGAGGAGGTCAATTTTTTCCCATAATATCGTCGTTCTTCCCTTAATCGTTTTTACTATGAAATTTTGTGTCTTATATCCCGATCATTTCACAGAAAATGTCTCCTTACTGACATACGTTTATTATTAGGACATACTTTTTTTCCTAATTAGATTATTTGTTTTTTTAGACGAAAACGACAAAACGATTTTGATATCAATACAAAATTTGTAATTAGTACAAAAATATTGAAATTACTCAATGGCAATAAAAATCGAAATGAAAAAATACAACAACAAAAATTTTTATCAAAATATCCTCATTTATTTAAAGTAAGTAATAATTGATATGATTTTCTTTCTTAGTCTAAGTATCATTTGGATTTTTAGTTTATACTGTCCAAAGAGCACCAGAAATATTTTATTCAACAGGGTTTGTTAGCTCGTTCATCTAAACAACAGCAACAACCACAACAAGTATATTTAATGTTGCATGATGAATTAAACGATATACTAAAAGAAGATACAGATTACAGGTATCATAACAGAAAAATTAATGTTTTTGAAAGATTCATCTTTTTTTTTTGTTTTATTTTAGTGGTATTTCCATTAGTGATTTTTTTACATTACCATATGATATTATTAATCAAATTAATGACAGAACATGAACATCTCGTTTTATTTTCTTGTTCTAATCAACTTTTCTAAGTTCTTTTTATCTTGTTTTATTAAAATAATTTATAACATAATCATACAATATTCTCTCTTGACTATACTCTGTTTTTTATTTTATCACATAAATAGCTTTTCAATATGTAAAGAGTTGGTCTCATTTTTTCTTTTAGATACTAGATCTAGAACAACAACAATGACCATTATAAATGAGTGGTTTAAAGAACGTTTTCCAAAATATCGCTATGCATTAAAACATGCTGGTAATCTAGTTTGTACATTTTTCACTTAAAAATGATGTTTTCATTTTTTATCTTTGTTTTTAGATCCTCGCACACAAAATTGGTTTCTGTTATGGAATGATCCATCCGGTGTTATTTTTTTAACATTATGTTATCTTTTATTTGTTTACTTTGGACCGCGTGTAATGCGAAAACGCGAACCACTACGAGTACCATCATCAATGCTTTTTGTTTATAATTTGGGTCTTGTTGCTGTATCTCTATATATGTTAGAAGAGGTTCGTTCATCTTTCTTATTGAGAAATAATAGTAATATACAAATATCATCTGTCATTTTGAATAGCATAATCATGTTTTTAATACAGATCTTTTCGTATTATTTAGATTTTAGTTGGTGTTTATCAGAGTGGGTATAGTTTAGTGTGTCAGAAATTAAATGTTAGCAGAAAACCAAGTGAAATGAAAGTAATTATTACCATTGTATAAACCGAATACTTGTAAAGTACGCTCACATCCGCTAACAGTCTCGAACTAAATACTGATACAGACAATATATAGAATTTGTTGAATTGGTTATGTTAACATTAAATAATGTTCAGATGGATATTTAACAATGGTTACTAACAGTCGAAACTAGTGACTAACATCGTAACTAAATACGACATGAGCTACACGCTAATTTAGTAAATTATAAAGTTAGAGAGATGTTGACGTCGTATTTAGATGTTAGTCACTAGTTTTCGGTTTAGTTAGTAACCATTGTTAAATATCCATTTGAATAGTATTTGATGTCAGCATAATTCTATCTATATATTGTCTGTATCAGAATTTAGTTCGAGGACTGTTAATGGATGTGATATAATTTACAGCAGCTTTAGGTCTAGTCATTTCAATTTATTATTATACATAATGTGACGTTTCGAAATGTACACATTTCATCATCAGATAATGAGATACGAAGTTTATACAGAAAATTTGGTGACCATCAAATCTGATTGACTATCTCTTCAATTTTCTACTTCAGAATGTCAAAAAATATATCCCGTTAGTTTTAATATGTGATTTTAATGTCAATACAACAACACCTCCTGCTGGACTAAAACAAATTCTTGAATTCTTTTCTCTAGTGCGCTCCTTCAATATCGCTACGACACACAAAAATGCAAAAATAGATAATATCTTTTATTTTAAAGAGTGGGACAAGCCTAGTACTAAAATTTTACCAGAGATAGGAAAATCACCACATTTTCTACTTCAAGCCAAAAATTTAAAATTAATGTTGAACCTAAACAGGACGAGGACAAATTCGTACGCGATTATGAAAACTGTGATTTAACTACTTTACGTAAATTATTATCGGAAATTGATAATTCTTTCTATCTTTCAAATGAAGTAAACAAAACTACCAAAACGCTTTTACATCATTTTACAAAATGTATAGAAAGTTGTGTACCTCAAAACTTTTCTCATTTATCCGAGGTATAGAATCTCCTAGATATTATGTCGAAGTGGTGTGTAGAAAACGAAATGGATTTAAATATCGATAAATGCTGCTGTATGGCGTTTTCTAATCAAAAATCACCGGAGCAGTTCCCACTTCTTCTATTAAGTGGGAAGCAAATAATGGTCGAAAAAAATATAAAATTGCTAGGAGTTTATCTTTCATCAGATCTCATATGGAAATTCCATCTTGAAAATACAGCTAGGAAGTGCAGGTAAAGGCAGTATTAGACGCTATGAATCGAATATTCGGATTTGCTCCTACTTTTATTCGACTGCATATTTATAAAACCTGTATTTTACTAGTAATGGATTATTGTTGTGTAGGTAGTATTTGACAATGATTTCAAAACGCGTCTCGATTTACTAACATCAACGCATAAACTCGCTGCGCGTATGATATCAAATGACTATAGATCCAACAGTTCCTCTTTGATCACGAACTTAAAACTATCAGATCTTGCTCAAAGAAGAAAATTTTTCAGGTTAATCTTCTTTCACAAAATTATTGCAGGACGTAGTACACTTTCGCGCTTTTCTTTAGTATAGGCTCTTATCACTAGAACTTCTTTGCGAACCTCTAATCGATGTCTCTAGCAGGTTTCCTTGATAAAACGTAAAACTACTAGATCTTCATTTTTACCAGAAACTATAAAAGAGTGGAATCAATTACCAAGAGAAGTGATTGCTGCCTTTAGTGCTCAAGCTTTTAAACGTGCATTAAACTTCTTAGACTAGTTAATAATACATACTACGCCACATTCTATCTACTGTGTCATTTTTTTCTTTTGTTCAAACTGTTTTTTTTCTAGCTCCTTTTTTTTTCTTTACTAGGGATGACCTAGACAAGTTCTTTGTTGAACTTTTGTCATTACCCTGTTGTTTTATTAACATCATGGACTAAGATAAAATTGAAATTAATATAACTAAAGAGAAAGTCAAAATATGCAGAATATATATATTTGTCTTTTAGAGACAAATATTTTATTCTTCTAGAGAAGACAAAACCCACTAGCACGACTGTAAACAGTTGAATATTATGCAATATTCAACTACAAACCATATTAAGTATTGCACAATATTCAACTGTTTACAGTCATGTTAGTGGATTTTGCCTTCTCTAGAAGAACAGAAAAGACAAATATATATATTCGGCGCATTTTGATTTTTTCTTCAGTTATATCAAATTTTTTGTATAGTAAACTTCGTATCTCATTGTCTAATGATGAAATGTGTACATTTCGAAACGTCACATTGTATATAATAATAAATGGGAATGACTAGGCTTAAAGCTGCTGTAAATTGTATCATATTTTATTCAAAATTTTTCCGGTACAAAAACAAAATTATTTGTTAGTGGATGTTAGCGTATTTTACAAATATTCATATAAACCACCATATATTTGTATTCATTTCCACATTAGGTGACAAATGCACTCTGGCTCTATTATGTATCGAAAGCAGCTGAATATATGGATACAGTTTTTATGATCATCAGGTAAGCTTATTATGATAATGAAATTATTACTTTATTATTATGTTTGTGTAATGTTAGAAAACGTTTTACACAAATAACGTTTTTACACTGTTTTCACCATTCGTCAATGCTTATTATTTGGTGGATTGTCATGACTTGGATTCCCGGTGGTCAGGCATGGTTTGGACCAACTCTGAACTGTCTCATTCATGTTATGATGTATACATATTATGGTCTATCAGCGATTCCATCGTTACGTGATAAATTATGGTGGAAAAAATACATTACTCTTTTTCAGCTGGTAAGAAATGTCATTTTTTAAACGTGAGTGCTTTTGCTATTAGACTGTAGATAGTTCAGTCTTTTAAACCGAATCTGTATTTTAAAACAAAAAAAGAATCCTCAAAGGATTCAAGAAATGAAGTGACGAACAATTCATTTTGCAAGTTTCTTTGTTGCTGGGTATAAAGACGCGATTTTTATCTGTTTTAGATCCAGTTTGGTATTATATTAATCCACTCCATGCAAGGTATGCTACTAATAATTGTATGCAAACAACAATCATTGGTTTTTATTTTTATTTAAAAACCAGACGCTTTCGATTAAGATCTGTAATCACCATCAGCTATAGTTTACATTAAAAATACCCAACTATATATATACATTTACTCGTTCTTACTTTCCACTATTTACTTTTTCGTTTTCACTTTTCACTTTTCTTTCACTCATCTTTTCGTTCTTTTTATGTCGACAGACATGATGAGTTTTTGCTGGGAATTTTGTTCTTTTTCTTGTTGAGTCACTTTGATTTGCACAATGTTAGTCGCGTGATCTAAAGTACTATGCTATATAGAAAAGTTCTGAAAACGGGAGGATACTGTCTGGGTACCGCAAATTGACCATTGCACGTTCTTTTTTCATACAAAGGTCCAGATTCGGCGTTCTGAGTTCTGAAGTAAAGTGTTTTTTGGATTTAGAAACTTTTCGTATATTTATAAGAGTTGATTGTCCGGCGCCACTTTTTGATCTTTATTACTGCTATAAATCATCGAGAAGAATAAAGTTCTTTTAATTTTTTAATGATCTCTCTGTCTGTGTTAATATGACCAGTGTCTGTCGACCTCGCAACTTGTCTAGTTTTTCTTGTTTAGTCACTTAGTTTTTCAAAATATGAGCCGTGTGATCTCGAGAACTATACAACGTAGAGAAGTTCTGAAAACACGAAATCGTTCTGTGAGTATCGAAAACTGATCATTGGACATTCTTTTTCCAAAATTCACGTTGGAACTGGGTAGAAGAAAATTGACTTTGAACTTAGAAAGTTTTCGTATATTCATTAATAGCTTGTTGTCTGATACCATTTGTTCTTCAGAGGAATAATAATTGTCTTTCTCTTTCTGAGCTCTTTCATTTTCCCGTTCTCTCTCTCTTCAAATTTCGTTTTCATTTCATTTTTCTTAGATCTATCTTTTAAAGCAACTAAAATCACAACGAAGATAATGTGATGAATCCTCTATTGTCTGCGGATCACTTCTGGTAGATTCAGATCGGATACAATCTGTCGACATCGTAACTTGTGCGCAGCACAATTGCAATCTAATTTCTTTTTGTTCTTCTGAACATATTTTGTATAATTCCATTTCTAAACTCGTAAACAATAAAAAATAATTGAATGAGTGTCTAAAATCATATTGACTTTTTCTAGGTATAGTTTTCGGATGTGAATATCCTTTATGGTAAGCTCTGACTTTGTCCATAATCGAACAACGTTACTATTTATTCATTTTTCAGGGGACAATGGTTATTGGGTGGTTATATGATTATGATGCTTATTCTCTTTATCAACTTTTACTTCCAAGAATATATTACACGTTCCAATGAACGTAAACGGCCAAAATCTCATCTAAAAATCGATAATGATGAAAAAACAACTAGTCGGCAAAAAGATAGTTACAGTGTTCCAAAGACACTATCGTGCTCGTCGTCTTCGTCTACTTCAACACAATTATCAACACCTAAAAAGCAAAACGGTGTTATTAATCACTACCACCATGAATAGGACCTATATTTTTTTTCTCCAGCGACATTTTTGCTTATTGACTTCGTTTTATTGTCGCCTGCTTGCTAAGTAGATGAACAATTATTTTTTTGTAATTCTCATTGTGTTCTGTGAGTTCTAGATGTCTGAGCCATTTTAAATCTTCTTTTTCGCTTCTCAAAGGAAATGAACAATTTTGTGTAACCACCAGTGTTTGCTTATTTTGTTTTTCAAATACGCAAATATCTACACATTTAGTTCTAGTCTCAAAAAATTTTTCTCGTTTTAGCTAATGAACAAAAGATAATGCAAAATTTTTCTTGTTTGTTTGCGTTTGTGTGTTCATGTCCATGTGTGCACAAAACAAGCAACATTTTTTTGTAAATTAAATAAGATTATTTTTTTCTCTTATACAAAAATCAAAATGATCAAAATACAAACACGAGTTTTTGTCCTTTTTGTTATACACAATCATTTATTAAACTATTTCACATATATTTGTTGTTTTGTGCATGTTATGTATTGTATCACACTGCAAGATATTTTTTTTCGTGTTGCTTTTTGTCCGATTACAAAAATGATCTTATTGCTGCTTACAGTCTGTGCAATTTTTTTTCTGTGTTGTTATTTAAATTTTTTAGTTATTTGATTCATTTTGTGTTGTTTTTTCTCTTTTATCGATTATTTTGAGTGCAGGCATAATGAAGAGGTATGAGAATAAAATTATTCATGACCATCTGCAGTTAACCGTGTAACGAAAGATATATATCCGATGGATTTTAATATGTTAGTAAAATCTTCTTCTATCAGATTATCTTTGTTGTTATTCTTATTTACAATGTTCAATATGAGAAAAGTTAAGTTTCTATCAGATTCAATACTACTATTAATTGATCGATTTCAGATGAGTGATCATCATACAAGCCTATTGATGTTTGGTAATGTTTCATGAGAAAACTAACAATATGAGATAGAACGACATGAGATGTGTATGTACAATCGAGAACAACTATGTCATCTAGTTATATCTGTTTCATTCAAAATCAAAAACTTTGTTTTGTTCTTGATTTTATTATTATATTCTTTTTAAAAAATAAATCATTTTAAAAAACAAAACATTCATTTATGAGTAAGTGATGATCTACATGTTATTAGGTTATAATAACAGTAATCACATGACGCTCAAAATAAACAAGAATAAACACATTTTCGCAATTTATTTTCTTAAAAAGTTTATGTTTATTATGATTGTACTTGTATCAAACGGACTTTTCACTTAACGGTCATGTAATATTATTTTAGCTTGACATATTTTAACATGGCATCTAATAAACGAAAAGAACCAGCAACAGATGATAGCGATGTGCTTATAATAAGACCACTGTAAGATAATAAATAGTCTATTAAAATATATTCTTAATATATTTACTTTTTCTTCTCTTTTTCCCTATAGTGGTGCTGGTCAAGAAGTCGGTCGTTCGTGTATCTATGTCGAATTTAAAGGAAAAAAAATTTTGGTATATGTTAATGATCTTTTCGTTTGTTAAAAATAAATGTTTTTTTTTACTTCTTTAGCTCGATTTTGGTATTCATCCAGGTTTGTCTGGTCGAGCTGCATTACCATTTATTGATAATACAATTGAACCAGAAGAACTTGATCTGCTATTAATAAGCCAGTAAGACAAGATGAAAGATGAAAATAAATGCTATTGTACTAAAATTGACTTTTTATTTTCAGTTTTCATTTGGACCATTGTGGCGCTCTGCCATGGTTTTTAAATAAAACAAATTTTAAAGGACGTTGTTTTATGACACATGCGACAAAAGCTATCTACAAATGGCTATTATCTGACTGCATTCGTGTCAGGTATGACATAAGTCTTTTCGATCGTTGAAAATATTGTTAAACGATTCATTTGTAGCTCTTGATTGTTTCTGAAAGCGTCTTTCACTGATTAGTAAAGTTTATCTTATTTATTTAGTAATGTGAGCGCGGATGAAATGTTGTATACAGAAGCTGAATTGAACGCAACAATGCCTCGAATAGAAACAATTAATTTTCATCAAGTACGTACATTGTAAATTTACATCTTTTTATTTTTTTAATACATTGTTGATTTTTTTAGGAAATCGAAATAAATGGTATCAAGTTTTGGTGTTATCATGCAGGACATGTGTTAGGAGCGGCAATGTTTATGATAGAAATTGCTGGTGTCAAAGTAAAAAGAAAGAATACTTTTTTAATAAAATTTTCATCCTTTTTTTCTCTTAAGGTTTTGTATACGGGTGATTTTTCTCGACAAGAAGATCGACATTTGATGAGTGCTGAAGTACCAAATATGAGACCAGATGTACTCATAACAGTATGTTTCTTGTAGAAAATGAAAGAGGAACGAAATTCTTGTAGCTACATCATAGATCGTTCCCTATCTACTTCTGGTAACTAGTTAGTTAAAAAGATTGATCTAGTATATTTTTGTCTGTTAAAAGGAATCGACATACGGTGTACATGTGCATGAGCCTCGTGAACAACGTGAAAGTAAGAAGATAGATTATTTTCATTATGTTAATTGACTATCATCCTGTTTTTGTTAGATCGTTTTACACGCCTTGTGCATGATATTGTCACACGCGGTGGTCGATGTTTAATACCGGTATTTGCATTAGGACGTGCACAAGAATTATTGTTGATTTTAGGTATGTTACACAATTTTACTTTTTTAAAAAATTTCTATTAATGTTTTCTCTTTTTTCTCTAGATGAATATTGGTCACTGCATCCTGATTTACACGAATATCCAATCTATTATGCATCATCTCTAGCAAAAAAATGTATGTCCGTATATCAAACATATATTGATGCTATGAACGATAAAATTAAAAAACAAAGTGCTATTAGTAATCCATTTAAATTTAAACACATTGCCAGTTTAAAAGTAATCCTTTTTTTTGAGTTACATAAAGTAAGATACGAAAATGAACGTCTGTATTCTTAGACAATCGATGACTTCGATGATATTGGTCCGTGTGTTGTTTTGGCAAGTCCAGGAATGATGCAAAGTGGATTGTCAAGAGAATTGTTTGAATGTTGGTGTACAGATAAACGTAACGGAGTGATTATTGCGGGTTATTGTGTTGAAGGAACATTGGCTAAGGTATGAAACATAAATTTGGCAATGGAACTAAAATATACTAATTCAGCTTGTTTAGATGATCTTATCTGAACCGGAAGAAATAGCGACAATGTCTGGGCAAAAATTACCGTTGAAATGTTCGGTTGATTACATCTCTTTTTCGGCACATACCGATTGTAATCAGACAACAGATTTTATACGAGAATTGAAACCACCACATGTGGTACGTTGTTAATAAATATTTGTGATTTTTTTTCTTTGCTATTTTTTGTTTCTATTTTGAGATTCTTGTTCATGGTGAAAGTACTGAAATGCATCGTTTGCGTGCGCATCTTGTTCGAAAATTTGAAGACGATTTAGAATGTAAATTACAAGTGTATACACCAAAAAATACACAAGCTGTAGAATTACGATTTCGTGGTGAAAAAACAGCAAAAGTTGTCGGACAATTAGCAGCCGACAAACCGTCAGATGGAACAATATTAAGTGGAATATTGGTTCGAAGAAATTTTAAACTCCATATGATGGCACCAGAAGATTTACAAAGTAAGAGTATTATTTATCCAATCTTTTTCTTACCTATACGTAATTACTTAATCTAGATTATACATCGATGAGTCGCTCAACAGTGACACAACATCTTGGTATTCAATTTACAGCTGCACCACGTTCACTTGTTTTAAATCTTTCACAAGTGGCTGGAGAATTAGAACAAGTTGGAGATAAACAGCGACCTGGCATACGTGTATTTGGCGCTATTAATATATTTTTAGAAAATAAAATGCTTGTTCTTGAAGTAAGCATTTAAGAAATATAATAGATGTAAATAGTATTACTTTTTATATTGTAGTGGGATTCAAGTCCGGTGAATGATGTTTATGCTGATGCTGTTGTGACAGTAATATTGAAAACAGAATCAGGAAACTATCCGGGATATACAGGTAGGAAATAAAGTAGTGTAACATATATGTACCTTTATCATTTCTTCCTATTTAAAGATACTCCTATTCAAGTTGATAGAAAACATGTAAGAGAATGTCTCTTTGAAACATTGAAAGACATGTATGGTGCGAGCGCGGTAGTCATGGAAAACGATAATAAACTGGCGATAACAATCGATGAAAAAAAAGTAACAATAGATTTGGACAGTCTAGTACGTATTGGTCAAAAAAACATCGAATTTAGTAAACAGAAAAATATCGACACAAGATAACAGTAGAGAACGTCTCTTACTGCATATTTATTCTATATTTACTCATTTGTCTTTCTGAAAGTTCACATCTTATTAAATATACAGCATGTGCATTAAGTTTGTATTGTAATCAACTCGATATTTGTACTTAAATTTATCGAAAGTGCTTCTTCTAATCATTTTTTTTTCTATTTCTCTTCTTATTTAGGAGATCAAAGGTGATGATGAAGAAATTGTATCAATGATTGAAACAACTGTCAAACATTTAAGTGCATGTATTCAACCATTAAAACTATCAGCTTTGACTTGAAATAGATTTTTTTTATATTTTATGTATAATGTATATGATACAATTTTTTTTCTCTATGTGATGAATTTGCAATTTTTTGAAACAAAATAAAAAATAACATTGAAAAATAACCGTTTTGTAATAAATTGAATATCAATGCGCTAATACCTCTTTCACGCGTCATTTGATGTAATTTCCCAAGAATAAACTTTATTTTCAATAGCTAACTAACAAATATGGCTAGCTTTAAAAGTGATGGTATCACTATTTCATGAAAGCAAAATGTATGCTATGACCACACAAATAAAACATTAATTTCATATAGACAAATCTTAATCTTGTATGAGAATCGCTGATGTAACAATCCGTTAAAAACAACGTGTGTAAATAAGATATAAAATAGATCTGCATAATTAAAATAAATTTTTAAAGCGTAGAGATTTATACCATAAAATACTTAATGCAATATTCTATATTTATCTTCTTCATCTTTAAAAGAATCAGTTCTGTCTAGATGCTCACCAATATTAGGTGTGCTTACATTGATTTTTCTTATTCATTCATCAGCTCTCCTCAGACAGTCAAATTTTACTAAACTGTAACAAATCTCTGAAGGAGTACGCACTTTTGGGTATGTTCTTTCCTAAATTAAGTCAAAATTCTGCTCAATCAAGTGGCATCTATAAGAATAGACGTTAACAAATATGTTAATATTCACATTCTAGACAACATGTATAAAACCGTTTTTCTGCGTTTATGATTGTTTTATCGATGCTCAAAGGATTGCTACCATGAAACGTTGAAAAAGCGGAAAAGATGACGTGCAACAGCACAGGCTTGTTTGAAACGCAAACACTGCAAAAATATTAAATAATTAGTAACCATTAACACGTTTGACTGCATTCTGATAATTGCAAAACAGGTTTTTAAAGAATTATTTCCGAGATGAACAAAATAGTTTGACTTGATTTTCAAAAGTTGACGCGATATATTGGATTAGCATAGTGGGTGATGTCGCCACTCTATGGAGTTATGGGAAACTTGTTTAGATTATATCTCTTAGAATTGATAAGTAAATTGTTCTCTTTTTTAAAATTGTCAAGTGCTTTAATACAATTTAGAATCTCTATGAAGAATATATCATCTATGAAAAAGCGTTATGTAGCTAAGCATCAGTAAAGGAGGAATCCCTTTATGGATGCGATTATTTATTGAGTTGGAATAGTCGTTCGGAACAAACAGTATATGCAATGGTCTAAGATTAATTTTCAATTGAGTGAAAAAGGTTTATTTCTAGGCACTTTAAATTTTGATTTTCACTTTCGTCTAACATGATTTCAACCTGATATTTATTAATTATATTTTAGATATATACCATTCTTTCACTATGAGTTCCTCATTCAACATTAGGTAAACCTAAGATAAAGTTATCATTTTTTTAATGAAAATTTTAATTAAAATGGGTTTCCATAGTTTAATACGCATTTTTCACGTTTTTATTGCTAAAAGCAGAGTGCAGAATCAAGTTCTTAACGTGGAGAGCTATTTTACTCTCACCTGATTCACTAATGATTAAGACTTTAAAAATTAATACTTGAAATTCTTAATTATTTCTTTATACTTCTTTTATTTAGTGACACACAAAATACTAAATTTGTGTTAGATCGTATAAATCAGGCTGAGAAATACCTAGGCAGTATTTTCACTCATTTCAATCGTGTATGTCGTAAAGAGGCACGTTTACGTGATTGTAACGATGAAATCGTACAGACAATGGTCGAATATGCTGATCGTGAAAAAATAAACACAACATTAAGAAACAGTTTACAAGGATATGCAGGATATTTATCTGCCGTCGAAGATTATAGAAACACATTAGTAATACAACTGCAATATTTCTCTTTTGATATGTTTTAATAATCATTTTATTTCCTTTCTAATTAGATTACTCGAATTGAATCACTCGTCTTAGAACCATTAGCCAAGTATGGTGAAGTCATGAAATTAAAAAAGGTAGAATTCATTAGAATGAAATTTTTATGAATCGAAGAGAAATCTTTATCTCTATTTTTTGTTTTTAGCAAGCAGTTCAAAAAGCAATAAATGCACGAGACAAAGGTGTACAACGTCAGCGTAAATTACAGCAAACAAGAACTAGAGATCCGAATAATCGTGATGCAATTGTGACGATGCAAGTTCAATCTGAATATGCACAAACAGAATCATCACGCGCTGATCGCGTTGTACAAGATGAAATTGATAAGTTCGAAGAATTGAAATTAAACGATATGAAAGTAAATCTTTCACTTCTTCGTATTTAGTTGTTACTTACTAATCTTTTTTTCCTATTCTTATTAATAGAAATTGCTGACCGATTTTACATTAGTTCATTTAGCATTTCATGCTCGGGCTTTAGAAATGTATACAAATGCTCATCAAAATTTATTAAATATTGATGTTGCGCATGATCTTGAAGAATTTAGAACAACTGCACCCTTTCGTCGTTTACAGCCATCTCAACGAAGTGTTAGTGATAACGCATTGAATAAACGTACAGACAATCGATTGGTTGATCGACGTGAAGGAGAATTTGGATCAAGACATAGTTTACCGGCGGATAACACATACATGACTCGTACAGGGAGCGGTGGTCATAGAAAACAGCATAGTCCAATACATGAACATGGAAAACGGCCTACGACTGCCTCAACAGGACCGAAAGGTAAAAGTTATAAATGAATTTGTTTTGATTAGTTACTAATAGCTAAATGAATTTCCCTTTTCAAGGAAAAATATCTCATGATTCATATTCGTCCGATTCAGATTCGACTCAAGAATGAAAACCAATGTCGTTTCCTTAGATAATATTACCAGATAGATCAGATTTATTGTATTCTGTGTTCCATTGTGTGGATGTTTCAAACTAACATAGTTTTTTTAATTATATATTTACCCGTCTATTTAGTATTCTGTTTTTAGACTTTTTTTTAATAATTGTGCTTTTCTCTACAATAATGAACTGCCTTGCATATAAAATGGTTGTAGATATTTCAGAGTGTACTAGTAAACTTCTTCTTAAATGTGACTCATTATTTCTCTCCTGCCCAGCTGTCTTGATCGTTTTACGAATAGTTCAACTTTTATTTCTTCTTTTCTTGGTATCATTGTTTTGGTCATCGCAAATTGCACATTTCGCTTGAAAATACATGTTACTACTCGCTTTATTTCTACTGTACTTTTAAATTATGTAATCAGAGTAGATCAGAAACGTCAACTTTTTCTTGTATAAAATCAAATATTTATTGATACCGGACATTTTTGTTTTGAATATTGGTCACATTTTGATTTATTTGTTTCAATCTGGAATTTGTTAGCAATAAACTTAAAATTTCTAAATGAATCCCAAAAAGTAGAGAATATTATCTAAGGCAAGAATGGGCACACATTCACATTTGCAAGGTTCCTGAAAATATTTCATCAAAAACATTTGCAGATAAGCACAGTAGAGTTTATGGGGCAGTCCATCCAAAACATACGACGGCGGTTCTGTTCTGACGATATGATCGTTTCTTTTCACTATGTATAAGAAATACGTAAAAAAGCTGGTCCTGGTGTAGCAAATTGTCCAGTAAGTCATGATCGGAGTCTGTTAATTATTGTTCAATTGCTTAGATGTTTTTTTTATTGAGGAATATCATTGTAAGTGATACAACGAGCAAAATGTATCATAAGTGAGAAAATTAAACAAGCACATTGTTTGAAGCCGACATAAGTTGATATTTTGCTTTTTAATTATATTTTTCTTGAGAAAAGAACTGACAAACTTGAATGCAATGTTGAGAATAAATATGTTTCCAGTTTCAAAAAGAAACAACTGCAAGAGTAATAAGAACTATTGTCCATTCAAAAGAAAGAATGATATATGGATGTTTTTTGAATACCGCGAAAGTCGAAAGAGCTAGAGCGAAGCGACTTCCACTAATTGAAAGAGGAGCTTATGAAGCATCGTTTTGCAAATGGGACGTTTTTTAGATAGTTTTTGAAAACGGATTTTTAACCGGATCTTTGGAAAACTTCTGTCTGCATAAGCCGGAAATTTAAAATAGAAAACTATTTAGTCTTTTCGACTGTAGTGCTTCCACGTGCTCAAACTCATTTTTTGAAAAACTCATCCTTTGAACTTTCTTCAACTTTGGAAATAAAACAAACATTGCCACAAGATTCAAGGCGGTCGATACCCTGTGGTTTGTATGTTTTTGAGACCCCCAAACTCGAAGAAGTAGGAGCCCTGACTTCGAAAAAACCTGAATTCCGGCCAAATCATTGATTTTCAAGATCTCGCTGATATCTCATTTTCTATTTACTGATAAAAAGTATCAATAGTTTGCTATTTTAAATTTTCGACTTATGCAGAAGTTTTCGAAAGATCCATTTAAAAATCCGTTTTCACAAACTATCCAAAAAACTTCCCATTTGCAAAAAGATGGTGCATAAGTTCCTCTTTCAATTGGTGGAAGTCGCTTCGCTCTAGCTCTTTCGATTTTCGAGTTATTCAAAAAATATCCATATATCATTCTTTTTTTTGGATGGACAATAGATAGAGTTAGAAAAAGTATAAAATTCGTCGTCTAAATCATCACTTTAGCAAAAAGATGATTCTATTTTCTTAATTATTAGCAAAATATAACACATGTCTTGTAGCCAAGAATATCACGCCCATTTTTCATTGTAAAAATATCTTTTTTAAACATATTTAGATGAATATTTTTCAAAGATATCCAATTTGGCGTATGAATAGTATTATTATTATCATCGATAGATAACATTCAGAAAGAGTGCATAACATGATGGAGGTTGATCCAGCCTTTGTACTAGTATCAGGACGTAACGTTGTTGAGTATGGGTTTGTTGTCAGTCTGCACTGACTGAAATCATTCAAATTTGATTTTGATAAATGAACAGATGGTAAACTAAGTGGTATATGTTCTCCATTTAAGTTTGTTTGGCCAAATACTCTTTTCCATTCTCGATCTGTTATAGTGTAAAACCTTTCATACAAACCATTATAAATCAACAGCTGACGATTTTCATCGATTAGTTTTTTACTGAGCATTGCTACAACTGTTGTCACTTTTGAATCCCACGTTATTACAGGAGAAATTGCAGTTCCTGTTATATTAGTAGCTTCAGTACTTCCGTACACATTTTGCATTGATGATCCGTGTAACATGTTTAAATACCATATTAAACCTATTGTTTCGTCAGCTAAAATAACTGGAAAACTCGCATATGGTGTAATTGTTGTCATATGTAAAACAGGTTCTGATGCAATCGATTGAATGCCGCATGCACTTAAATACTCAACGTTATAGGTATCATTTGGTACAGTTGATGCAACAGAAGCATAAAGACCAGGTATATGATTTTTGTTCGAATGCATTGTACGCGCTTTTTCACCGTTCATAAACAAACGTCGTTGGATTGGAATATCCATATAGGGTAAATAAAAATATTTCCATTGTTCATGACTGGAAAACCAATACCCTTGTTGAACGGTTATATTTTCATTTTCATTCACGTATTCAACACGTTTTAATTTTGCTTGTTTTTTTAACCATATTTTCTCTCGTTCATCTATCGTGTAATTATATTTAATCCATGGTGCGTACAGATCCATGAAATAAGCCATCAATTCTCCTGTAAAAAATAATATATTAATTCATGATAAGTTAAACTAGAAACAGTTTAAAATGTTCCTTTCTCATACCTTCATATGGATCGTCTAAATAACAGTCACCATCCGTAAAATAATTACTTTTATTAAATTGTTGAGATTCATCTGTCATATTTCGAATTTTTGTTACACATCTTATCCCTCCATTACCATCGTAAAAAACTGGAATAGACGTATTAATCATTAAATCAATTCTATCTTGATATCTTTTAGCTAAATTTGTATAATTTTTATTATTTAAACTAATAATTAATGATAGAATACTCCATATTAATTGACCATTGTCCAAACCGGGCACTTTATCTCTCCATGCATCTAGTAGATTCATATTAGTACCATTCGCTGCAAACCATGGAAGAAAGCCACCGAAACCCGGATATCGTCGATGAAAATCATCATAAGAATTTATTTTTTTTGTTAAAATATCAATAATATGATCGATTGGAGCATTATTGAAAAACATTTTTGCATATTGATCATCTAATAGATAGAGTGTCAATATGTTTACATGAAGTGCTTCTTTTGATGCTGCTGTCCAAAATTGTAAGTTTTCATGTAAATTTCCAGTTTCATGATCAATCTTGTGTCCATCATATGTGATACCTGTCACATTATTATAACCAACACCATTGCCAAACTTACCTTCCCATAAGGATATATTCATTTTAAAATGATGTATAGCATTATTCCGATTGTATAGTAAATCGTCGATTGTAAATAAATCAGCAAAACGACAAATTTGTTCTTGACTTCTTATTTCTAATGAAAATGAAATCAATAAGGCTATGATAATGTATAACATTTTTTGTGTTTAACACATTAATTTTGTTTTAAAAAATTAAAAATTAAATTGATTCAATAACATTTACGAACCATATAATATTTTGTTTTTACTTTTAAATTCAAATCTGTTTTTTTTTTTCTAGTGATTTATTTATCTTTGAATTTTATTTTTATCAGCTTATTCTACTCAAACATAAATATCATATGTATTATAGATTAAACTTTTGTATTTTGCCAATATGTTATTAACTAAAACATAAGCTTCTTCGCGATTATGCACTTTTTCTAGAAGTGTCAAAAATATTATATTAAACAAATACTTATTGACACTAGATAGATTAAGAATAGAAAATAATAAGAAACTGATTCATAATAAAATTTATCCTATATCTATGTAAGAAGTAGACAACAAATTAGAATCTTATTAGTTGAATAAAAAACTATATCAATTTTTCCATTCATTTTGTCAATGTTGTCATTCATCGCTTTTTTTTTTTCTTCTTTACTTTTAACTGTATTCGTCAATCGTCAAGAATAACATAGAACTGATTTATATGAACATACATAGAATTTATCTTTTTCATTATACTTTTCCGATTATAGTCCACTTTCTGTTTTAGTATTCGCTTTTTTATTGTTCAATATCTAAAAAAAACGTGTTGTTTCAATTGATTAACAAAAAAATTCATGTGTAGATCTGATGAAAAAAAAAATAATTATTTGCGCGTATCCTATCGACAGACAACAAACATTAATAAAATCCTCACATAAAACAAAAAAGTATTTTATGATTATTATAAAAAACAAAAAAAGTTGCACAAAGTGTACATAGATAAAAACAAAGATTAATCAAAACAAATATTCTGAATACGATATATCTAATATAAGAAAAACGAGAGAACTCACTAGTTTTCAATCAAAAAACGAAAACATATTGCTAAAAAAGAATTCAATACACAGATAAATGAAGATAGTTATATGTAAAGGAATATCACTTTGTTAAAATATTTAGTAGAACAATTAGTGGATATAAAATTTCGTTTGCTATTGCCGATTAGTATTTTCTTTTTGGTGGATTTACTGGAGATATGTGAATTTGTATTTGTTATAGATTTGGTATATAAGTTGCCTAGAAACACCATCAAGCATAAAGATTTTTTATTAAAAAGAGAGAAAACAAAAGAGTTATGTCAATTAGTACTGCCTTTTTCTCGTTGAGGTTTCTGTCATTTTTCATACTATTTCTCTTGGTTCTTTTTATCTTTATACATTTTTAAATTCACATTGATTTTTTTAATTATTTGTTTTTGATTTGTTTCTGGATCGTCAAGTAATTCAAGTTGAATTTGTTCCGCTATTAGATCATCGAGGGAAGCTTCCATATAGGTGCAAAGACTTTTTTTTCTACGGAATGAACAGGCAATGAAGTTTAAACTGTATTGGCTGCGGTAATGCAGGTATACCATAACAGCAGTTATAACCTATCATAATTTATCACCAGTACATGTCGTTCTGTATACCATTTTTACAACAATTCTAAATATTGATCTTATTGTTTGCATAACATAAACTGGAAAATATGAATAAACTGCGTCCATATCATGTGTCCGCTCATGTCGCCAAAGCAAAATTGTTTTTTGTTTGATCACGCAATAAAAATGCAAAAACATAAGTGACGTAACGCAAAAAATAGTTACAGAAGTGAATTCTGCATATTAATTTACAACAAAATATTTACAGAATTCAGTATTAGTCGAACAAAAACAAAAACATTGTAAAAATATAGAATTCTGTAAATATTTTGTTGTAAATTAATATGCAGAATTTCACTTTTATAACCATTTTTTGCTTTACGTCACTTGATTCACGCAAAAGAAATTTTAGTTTTGGTGATATGGGCGTTACATTGCTATCATTTTTCGATACCTCGATACCTTATACTTTTGCTAACGAGGGAAGGTCCCAAGTGCCACTCTCACTTCTCAATGGGGCATATCCTAGTTTGTAGAGCTTGACGAGCTGATCACGGTGGCATAAAGTGTTCTTCCCCATAGCCATTACACAGTGGGCATCCAAGCGGACATTAGGCGAAAAAGTCGATTCTCTTGTTTACCAAATATAAATACTGCAAAAAATAGCCCTTCCAATTCTCTATCGAACGGTGTATTTGATCTCCACTCCTTCAAGACGAAAAAAGGGCATAAAGGTTGTATGGCGAATATGTAAAAAAATGACATCTACGAACAAAATCTTAATTTCCTCTTCAGACAATCATGTTAAATTATTTTAAAGTACATAGTCGGAATCACCAAGTCGAGAGCTATCTATTGACAA